ATTTAATATCCATGTGCCCCTACACATTCCGTTAAATATTTCCAAAAATTTTTCCAGGTTAAAATGGTACGCTCTTCTTCTACACTGTTTTGACACTTCTTGAGTGATAACTTATTTTCCCTTCTCTATTAACTCTTACACAGAAAGAAGGACACATCATAGAGATTGCATAAGCCCAGATTCCAAAGAAAGATGAGAAGAAACATGGCAAGGACTACCAGAAAGATCAGAGCAGTCTACAATTGCAAGGATCCTGCCCGGAGCCCTGAGGTGGCTTTGGTTTTGCGTGATGACGTAGAGCAGTCGCCTCCCACACACCACCACAAGGAGACTTGATGCCGGCTACACGCAGAGAGGTCAGCAGCTCAGGGGTCTGTCTCTGCTGGACCGCCTGCCAGAAACTACCCACAAGGAGCAAAACTGACTCTCTGACCGTGTTTCCCTATCAGACAGGGACGTCACCCTGCAGCAGCCCAGAGGAAACACAGAGAGCGTCCCAGGAGCTGTGAGGCTGATCTGCCAGGCTGCTAAGTCAACCAAGACTGCAGCACAGTCCCAAACTGGAAACACCTCTGCAGACGGGCCCTTGCTCTCCGCGTGCCAGGCAAGAAAACTATTCTTAGAACACTGTCAGCAGTTGGGGGAAAATAAATATTTGTCTATGTATGTATATACTCCAGTGGGAGTGGGGTGGGGTGGAGGAGTCTCAAATAATGTGCCAACAAATTGGCACAAAATCCCTTAATAAGCAGCTGGCACTGGCTGTGTTCCACTGCAGGGCTGTGGTCTTGCAATCCAAGCCCACGAGAGGATTCAAGAGGCAGCCCTAAAAACCTGCCGGGAAGTCTTTTCCAATGTAAATACAAACCTACACGAACCAGGACCATGGCCAACAGTGGCAAGCCCTTCCAAGGGTAACAGCAGAACGTTAAGAAATTAGAGAGGTCTTTTAAAACAAGGGAGGGAGGTAGCTACAATTCCATTACAGCAAATCCCTTACTGGCATTTACATTCCCAGCCCTAATTCCTAACAGTGTGTTCAACGTCAATAGCAAAATGAAGCTCTTAAAAAGAATTAAGCTTTCAAAGATCATAAGGAAGTTAGCCCCCTGTTTTCAAAAGCACTGCTTAGAAAGGTCCATCAAATAACATTTCAAGGGTTGATGGGAAACCAAGTGTAATTCAATAAATATACATGGGTAATACTCAGATGTCCTCATTTGTCTATGTAATGGCTCAGATTTGACACTACGATCCTTGACTGAACACAAAGACTGTATTCCAGAAGAACTGTGCAGAGTACAAAGGCAGAGTTACAGCTGACAATACACTCGAGTTAAAGACGCGAAAAGACAATACTCATATACAGAATTCAGACATGACTTGATGCAATGGCAGTCTCCCTGTGCAGACTTTGCAGAACCTTCTGTCATTCAGTACTCAGTCCTGAAGCTCCAGGGCAGATACAGAGAGCAGAATGCCATTCTTGGCTAGACAAACCGGCAGAAAGGGCCGTTTTTAAAGGGAAGCTTCCCAGCACTAGCCCTTCGAGAAGGCACCAACCCCTATACCAGCCACAGGACCCTATTTTTGAGAGTCAGTGCTGCTCACCGTCTCTATCCACCTCTACTGCAAATAACTTACTAACACAAGCGCTCAGAACCCACATTCTGTACAGCTACTCTTACCTCACATCCCACAATGCCTAACACATAGTAGGCCCTCAATAAATATGTATTGCAAGGATAATTAACATTTAGAAAGCGGCGCTGGTCCAGGGATGAGAAGATGCCAAAATAATCAGAAAAGAGAAAAAGAGAAGGGAATAGACCAGGACACAGAGGAAAAGAAAAGAAGTAAATCGAAATTATCCAATTCTAGCTAATTAAAAAATTTCGGGGGGAAAATAAAAATCACGCTAGTTCACGTGGCTAGGGGCACACAGCAATCATTCCTGCGCCTGGGCAGAGCTAAGGAGCCCCGCTTGCTTTAAAGAGCTTCTCGCTGCCCTGACTGGCGACGAGGTGTCCCTCCAGGTAGGTGACCCAAGAACACGGTGCCCTCCTCGGATGCGCCTTCTGCCGGGGCCGCCCACCCACCACGCGTCCCTGTCGTCCTGAAACCTCTGCCTCGTCGGGAAACCCCCTCCTTTTCCAATTAAAAAAAAAAAGTTTAAAAACAAGCAAATGCCCTCTCCGCCACGACAGCGATTTAACCCACGCCGAGCCCACTGTCTTCCACCGCGTACTCACAGGGCGCGCCCCCAGGCCCACCGGGCGGCGCACCGGGCAGGGGTCC